TAATGCCCATTAATGCCCTACAAATACCGTAAAAAAAGCACACACCATCCTGAAACTTACCAACAAAAAGCTGTGGACCAAGATACATATGGTCGCCACAGCTGCTCCACCAATTCGAGCCTTCGATGGCCAAGCTAAGACCGATGGTGCTGAGATTCGAGTGGAGCACGAGCCTCCTGACATCAGGTGGATAGAGCGGTGTTGCAAATGGGACCATTAGAAACAGCAACCAGGTGGCCATTGTAAACTACAGACCTGAATTCCCAGAACTCGACAAATCCGTCGGTTTTCTGCACTGGTTGCCTAAAACAACCAAAGAAATCATTGGATCAGACCGTCCCATCTGCTCCCTATTCTTCCTGGCATCATAGCTGCTCCTTCCCGGGAGGTGAAAGTCATCGTCCACTTCCGGGTCGATGTCCACGGCGATGAGGAAAAATATCACCGACAGCAGCAGCCAGGGGAGCCATGCACGACACCACGAAGTGCAGGTCATTCGACCACAACCCAAACTGAAGAAATATTGTGAGCTACCGTGAGTAGCAAAAAGGGGTGCAAAAGTTTGCAGTTCAAAATCGGTTCTGGGTTCCAGAAGATCCATCTCCTCGCTTTCAACGAATCCAGCATTGATGTAATGATTGACGTAGATTGACATAGATTGAAAGGAAGCCCTGGGAAGTTGTGGCCAGCACAGTGGGGACTCACATTTCTTCTGCTAAAGTTATAAACTAAAGCCGAAATCAACAACCGGCGGCGCTAGCGAGTCTGAAAATGGGTGTGGCAAATGGATTCCAAGCGCGCCGCCAGCACGCCGCGGCTCAGGCTGATCTTGATGCCTTTGTTCCTTCTGAACATCTCTGCCACTCAAGTTTCGAAACCCCGGGAGTGGTGAAGGAATGGATCTGGTGTCCATTCACCACTGAGACATCACCGCCTTTCAGCACAGGAGCATTGCTCTTGTAGCTCACAATCACGATTCCAGAACCACCATGCCCTCCTCCCCTATCGCTGCCTCCTCCTCCTCCACCGGTGTTCGGCTCACCATCACAACCCTGAACACGGTCGGAGCCATCACCTCCACCTCCCTTGCCACCAGTGCCAGGTAACCAACTTGAAGTCTTGCCTGCACCACCACCTCCACCACCACCGCCGCTGGGACCACCACCACCTCCTCCACCACCTCCGGGTGCTCCTCCGCCTCCTCCGCCGTACCATCTTTGGGTACCTGTGATGGTGCAAGCCTCGCCGTAGCCGGCATTCCCACCACTATCACCGCCACCGCCTCCGCCACCACCATGATGCGGAGCCTCTTCGATCTTGGCTTCTAGCCAGTTCTTCCTGCTGTCTGCACCATTGGCACCATGCTCTCCTCTTGCGCCTCCATGACCCCCACCTGTAGCCTCTAGGCCTCCAAGAAGGGAGCTTTCGCCCTGGTGGTGAGACTTGCCTCCGGCTCCCACTTTCACTGGCCAAGAGGCGTACCCCTCTTGTCCCCAGCCCTTGTGCATGCGAATGCGACCTTGTAGCACGCCACCACCTCCGCCACCTCCATTGTGTCCTCCACCACCACCACCCACAATCAAAAACCTCAGCTCCAAAGTGAAATCATCCACTTCCAGGTCGATGTGCATGGCGAAGAGGAAAAATATCATCGACAGCAGCAGCCAGGAGAGCCATGCACGACACCACGAAGTACAGGTCATTCGACCGCAACCCAAACTGAAAAAATATTGTGAGCTACCGTGAGTAGCAAAAAGGGGGGCAAAAGTTTGCAGTTCAAAATCGGTTCTGGGTTCCAGAAGATCCATCTCCTCGCTTTCAACGAATCCAGCATTGATGTAATGATTGACATAGATTGAAAAGAAGTCCTGCAACATCGTACTCAGGCCTGATACCGCGGTAGTTCTATCTCTAATCAAACAAAACACAGAAGTATGTGTCCACCCCGCGTGTGCCCCGGAAGGCGACAGCAACACCTGGGTTGCACTGGTCCTGAGGGCCACCGGCAGGTAGCTTCTTGAAAGACGAGAAGTCCCTAGTAACTTCTTGTTCCTAGTAGTAAGGCCAGGAGCCCCTAGTAGCATTCTTGCTACTATATAGTAGCGATGCCAGGAGCCCCTAGTAACTTCTTGTTCCTAGTAGTA